TCTGTGCAAAGATCCTCAACCGTAAACACGCGTGTCTCAAATTATAATAAAACGCGGAGGAAATGTCAGTAAAAATATGAAATCCCGAGAAGCCTAAGTAAATCTCTCAACGGGCCAACTAAGGGCTTCGAGCCTAATCGCTGTAATCGCGAAGCGTCGTTCTCAGATCCCTAACGAAATTTCCTGGAAAAGTTGCGGGAGAGTGTGGGCGCGTTTCCCCGTGCCGGGAAGAAGTGTATCCCGAAAGCTGCCGGCCAGGAACGTCGTCGAAAATTATAGCAGCGGAGAAATCTCGCCGATTCTCGGGATACACAAAGGGATGGACGCGTCCCTTCGGAGGGGCTCGGGCGGGGAGGGCGAGGAAGAGGGTGGCAAATAACGACAGATAAAGAAAGAGGGGGTGACGTCACGACGGGCGTCCGTTGGGCTAGGTCGCGACGCGGCCTCCTGCCACCCCGCGTCCCTCCCAACGTTACTCCCCGCGTTTCTCGCCGCGAACCGCCTAACCCGACCCCTCCGGCCGCCCTCCCCGGCATCTAGCAGCTCCTCCACCCTCGGCCGTCGTGCCGAAAAAAGCAAGGCTCGCAGAAAGGACGCCCGGCGTCGTGGCGCTCTTTGGCTGATCAATACACGCCGCCTCGTACGCGGACGGACGGTCACGCATGTGCACGGTGTGGGCCCCTCTTTCTCCCTTTCTCTCTTTCTCTCTCCTTCTCTCTGTCTCTCTATCTTTCTGTCTCACTCCTCCCTCCGTCTCCGACTGCCTCGCTCCTCGTCCCTCGTCACATACCCTTTCTCTCTCTCTTTCTCACACACACACTCACTCGCTCTTCTTCTTCTCTCTCTCTCTCTCCCCCGTTTTTACCGTCGATTTTTCTTCCTTTTCCACCGCCGCCCACCCACTTTTTCCGCCGCGCGCGCGTCTCTCTGTCTCCGTCCGGTTCTCGCCGCGTACGCCTTCTCCCTTTTTCTTCGTCTTCTTTTTGCGCCGCTTCCACCCCCTTGTCGGATCCTTCCGACCGCATCCCCGCACCCCCTTCCTCGACCGGACACCGGGAACGCGTGACTCTTCCTTCGAGAGCTTCATTTGGAGACCGGAATTCCTAAGATCGCGGTTTACCGGCTCGCGGCGCCGAGTCTTTCCAGTGTCCCCGCCGGCAATTTGATTACCGCGGTCGTGTCTCGGATACGATGCTTAATGCTCGACGTTTTCTTTGATTACGGTCCACCCTCCCACCCCTTCGCCCCCCGTATGGCTTGTCTCTCCTCTGTAAGGGGTTGCCAGTTTCCGTTTTCTAGTTTTCAGTTTCCAGTTCCCGTTGCACGGGCACACAGGTCTGCCGTGTTCGAATCGGCGAGCAGTCTTCGACCGACTCGGTTCTCCTCCGATGTATTTTTCATCCGTCCCGTGGCCACCCCTCTTTCCTTCTCTTGCGACCCATCGTTCGATCCTTCCACCCCCTCCGTGTCTATCTTTCCGCCCCTCGTTCCCCGGCCGCGCTCCTCCTTCCCGGAGACTGGCCGATTTTTTCCTCCCGTTTCCTCGGCTCCGATATTTTTTTTACACCTCTTTGCCCGCCCGCCCTCCCGCCACGCTCGGTTCGCCCGGCACCCCCGTGGTCCCGCCCGTCCTCGCTCGCCCCGCTCGGCCCAGGCCGCCTCGAGCGCCCTCCTTCCTCCCGCCGACGCTTTTCTCTTCTTTTTCATCCCCCTTTCTTGCTCTCTCCTTCGATCCGCTCGCGCTCCTCTCACCCTCGCCCTCGTCTCTCCCTCTCCCTCTCTCTCTCTTACTCTTTCTTTCTCTCTGTTCCTCTTCTCCTCCTCCACATCCTCCTCCTCGTCCTCCTCCGACCACCCAACCGCTCGGCTCGCCTCCTCCTCCTCCTCCTCCTCCACCTCCTCCACCGCCTCCTCCTATCCCCCTAGCCGGCCTCTCACCCCCTTTCCTTCCCCGTACACCGTACTATCCTTGTGATTTTTTTCCCCGGCCACCCTCCGACGCCGGGCGTAGGCGTCGTTTTGCTATCGGGACGCTCTCTCGACTATCGGCCCAACCACCTACACCGACGTACGGAACAGGAGGCCGCGGGAGGGGGCGGACGCGGAAGGAGAGGGTGGCTGCAGCGCCTGGATGCGAGCTAAAATGTATTTTTTTGTTCTCTTCCCTTCTTTATCTTCGCTTCGAGCTGCTCGTGGTAGGTTGGATTACCAATCCGGGGATCGTGGAGCACGTTTTTCCATTTTTTTCCCTCCTTTTCGCTTTTTCCACCTACCCCTTCTGCACGCGCGCGCGCGCGCGCGCGTGTTTGTATGTGTGTGTGCACGCGACCGTCTACGAGCGTGTGTGTATATATGTGTGTGTGCACGCTCGCCTGGACGTAAGGGTTGGATCGGACAGAGTCCCAGCCCCCACCGGGTTTCCAGCTATATAGAAATTATCGACTTGAATTTTTGAAGAACCTCGTGTCCGCGTCGGGTGCGGATCTGGGTGAATTGATCGATGACAGAGCGCCATCGACGCGAAATGGACAGAGTCCTTTCCTCCTCGCCACGTTCTTTTCTCGCAGCGACGACGCCGCGAAAATCGCCGGACACGATGCGAGGCCCCTGTCTCGATTAGACGGTGTTTCGGCTGGCAACCCTTGTGTCGCAAATGTCAGAGAAATGTCAGAGACTGACATTAGGCGGCCGCGGGGGCCTGTCCTCGGGATCGAAACGCTTCAATTATTCGTCCCGCTCGTTCGGGAAGCAATTTCGAGCGTCGCGTGACCGATCACGATACCATATGCCAGCGGACGTACGGATTTCAGAGATGATCCCTGTGTTCCCTCTTCCTGCTCGAAAAGAAAAAACGATTTCCTCCCGCGAGTCGCACCTTGCTCCTTCGTTCGAGCATTCGACGACTTCCGCCGCGTCCCGAGCGTTTCCCGGATCACTTTTATTTCGGTCTCGCACGCGCGCAACCACCATTAATCACGGGAATTTAACGTTAAGTAATTGCTTCGCCGGGGCTATTAAAATCTGAACGGGTAACGAGAATAGATGTTGCGGGGTTCAGCGACGTCTTTATCGACTTCGAGAGGGCGACCGTAAGTCAAGACGCGGGACGGCGCGGTGGGAATATCTCGGTCAGTGCTCGGTTTCCCTGAAAATACCCTCGAGCGAAAGGGATTCCCTTCGAAACGGCGGCGGCGGCGGAGGGGAGCCGGTCCCACGTTAGGGCGCGTTTGACCACCCTCGCCCCTAAAAATGCATATCCCTTCGCGTTCTTCGAGTTTCTCGCAAGAATCGGATCGTTTCACGAGCCACCTGTAGAGCGACAGACGGAAGTATCGCCCTTTCGGCGCCTTATGGTGTCCCTTCGCTCGGTTTCTGGGTCGGCCCTGCACCCTCGGATTTACGCGGGCGTAAAATTTGGCCCGCGGAACGACCGTAATATCGATTCCGTTCGCCGTGAACCGGGTCGATCGTTCCTCCACAGTTTCCTCTCGAGAACCTGTCGGATAAATGAAAAGTCCCTTTCACGGCCCTTCGATTTCCCGAATTTTATCGACTGCACTCGCTATTATTCCTGCGAAACTGATTCGCCTATAGCCGGCTCGCGTTCCCTTCAAAGTAAAATACTAGCTCGCCCCCGCTGGCCGACGTTTTTTATACGGATAATAAATTTCCCAAACGTTGGCTCCGTGGCGGAAAATAAACCGCCCCGCGCGCGTTCTCTTACATATCGCATTCCGAGTCCTTCGAGGAGAATACGTGACCACACGCAAGGTCCTTCGAGTTGGAGGGCGGCGGCGGCGGCGGCGGGTCTCGGCTGTGGTTTAGGGGGTCACGAGAAGGGAAACGGGGTCATTCATAGTCGTCCACGGCGTCCTGCAGATACCCTGTAACTCCGCCTCGAACTGCCCCTCTGCCAGGGCTCTGGGAACACGGTCGGGGGATAGAATTTTCTCCGGGGCGGCAATTAGTGGATCGCCGAATGATTTACCGGGAACAAATTTGAAAGATTTCGGGAACTCCCTCGTGGGGCGTTCGCTGTCCAGCGCTCTGAATTAAGGGTTTTATTTGTAACGCCCTTTGGGGACGAGTGGATCGAATTTCCAGCGACGCGATGGTAAATCTAATTTATCCCGGCTGCAAGAGTTTCTTCTTTTTCGTGTAAATACCTCGAGGAACCGAGGTCGAAGGGCATTTATTAAATATTCCAACGAAATTCGGGACGGTCTCTCTCTCTCTCTCTCTCTCTCTCTCTCTCTCTCTCTCTCTCTTTCTGTCTCTGTCTTTCGACCCTCGGGCGTTACTCCCACGCAACTCGCGCGAGAGCACGGCCCGCGTAACAAGTTGCGTCGAGTCGAGATACACGATTCGAGGGTCGGGATTGTTTATCTTCGCAGAAGGCCGAGTGATGCCCAAGGTCAGAGGCCAGGTCTGCCACCCTTGTCTCTGTTGTGTCTAGACAGCGTTTCCAACCGTCCCCGCCGCCCCGTTTTGCCAGCCGCGACCCTCTTCGCCGCCCACCACTTCGAATGCCTCCCCCGACATATCACACTCCACCACCTTGCCAAGCCGAGGCCTCTCACCTACAACCCTTGCCGGCGCGCTTGCCAATTATCGAGCCACCCCTCGGCTGCTTTTCAAGGTGCGCGTGCCCTCCAACGAAAACCATCGATTACCGAGCAACAACCCCGCGGATTCCTCGAACGAGTCTCTTGGAACAAAAGAGCTGGCTCTTGTCGAAAGAGTTCATTCGAAAATTTCGTTTCGAAACAGACCTCTCCCGCCTCGAACAAACCTAATCAGAGAGATCGTCCCGAAGGAAAGTTGCAGTTGTCTGCTCAGACGGTCGCGCGAACCCACCCCTCTCGCCCAATTTCGAAATAACGCGATCAGAGAGCGAGCAAAAAGGACATTTTGTTAATTTTCGACACGCAACGATCCGACGCCAGTGAAAAAAGATCGCCGAGAGTTTGATTAACGGTGCCCCATGGTTTCTGTTCCAGCAATGCAACCCCCACGACAAGGAGAGCGACTACTGGGGCGGCGGACGGGGCGCGAAACAAGGTTACGAGGTGAGCCAGCCGGTCGCACATATTTTAACCGAACCGCCGGAATTTTCGCGGGCCCCGTGCTAATTCTACTTAGTGAAGCGCAGCACTTTCTGTTGCAGGCGAAAATGAACGCGGACCACGGCCAGCTGCAGAAGGGTGAGTGTGCGCTGTCTCTTTGCTTAATTCCGTCCCCCGGCTTAATTGCTCGAAAATTCGCGCGCTTCGCGGAGGAGCCGCGTAATTATGCGCGCTCGCTTCTCTGCTCTCCTCTCCTTTCCTCTCCTCTCCTCTCCTCTCCGCGCCGCTCGTCGCGCCTGTTCTCCCTGCCCTCGGTGTGGCCCTCGACCTTTCTCTACCACGTGCAGGGAGAACCGTTTCGGCCGTTGAATAAACGTCGAGCGCCGCGCAAATATTTACACTCAATACTCGATAGCGCTGCCATTCGTGGATATTGAAATAACAGAGGCGAACGTCGAACCGGCAGCCTCACTTTTTCTAGTTTTCATCGGGAGGGGTGTGAATTTCATTTCGGTCTATCCTGCGGCGGATAGAGGGCTCTAACGGCTCTAAGCAGACCGAGTTTTCACCTTCCGCGGATTCATCGCCGCGCTCGAGGAACGGTGGTGGTGCGCCGGTCCAAATGTGCCCTCTAAAATGATTTTTGTTTGTAGGGTAGTGGAGTCGGTTACCGTCGGGTCACCGATTGCTGTGCAGTCGGCTCGTTTTCTGGCATTATTGACTTTGCATTTATCGAATAAGACGTATCCGTCCTTTTTTTATTTTGTTTTAATAGCACTCTGACCATTCTCAAAGGTTTCAGTCGCGATATCAATCTTTCAAAAAACTCCGAAAGTTTGAAAATTCGTCGGAAAATACGGTAACTTATTTCTTCGAATTTGCGATCTATATTTTGATCACTGTAAAACTGATATCTTACAGATCTCAATAAGAAGAATGCATTTACTCGAATTTTTGGCGATTCTTAAATTTTAGGCACGTCTGTCCTCTTCAAAAAATCTAAAAAAGGTACACGTTAATAACCATAACAAGTCACTACCACTATTTTATCACGCCGTACGCTCTACAGTTATCAAAATCGTCTAAACTGTTTATTAGCTTACTCGGAAAACGCTACGGACGTTTTCTCGACTTTTTCCAGAATATTTCAGAATATTATTTCCTCTATATCCCCACCACTTCGCTCTCTCTCCTTTCCTTCATTTTCCTCTATTCTTCTATATTTCCTTACATCTATCCTCATTTTCAGTGTTACTATTATTTTAGCTTGTATTTTATTTCATATATCGTCTATTTTACAATGTCTTTTTTCTTACTCCCTTATTACCATTATTCCTGTGTCTATCATATTCTCCTAACTCCTTTATGATTATACTCGTCCAAATAAATCCGTAACAAATTATTATTATAATTAATTACCATAAAACTGTACTCGACGAGCCCAATAAGAAATAGCATTTCTGAACATTCGATTTTCTCGCAAGTTTATTTCGCACCTGAAAACTGAAAATATTCAGAGCGGCGTGTCTCTTTAGAAAGATATATCCATGGATTTTTACACAATTTTCCGCTCTACACGGAACAAAAAGAAATATAGAATTTCATCTGTTAATCCAAATTTCATTCTGCAACTGTTCTCGCGATAAGAGTAACACGGTTTAAAACTTGTCCGAGATGATTTACGTTTAGTGGCTCATCGGACAGACTAAACAAAGATCAATTTAGAGCACAAAATTGACCGTCTTTATCCGCCTATACCCTTTCTGCGCCGCGAATACTAGGTTCGCTAGGTGAACGATGAAAGATCGATGGATCGCGTGCGACCGGACGGAGATCCACCGGGCGATTTCACATCGGCTCGCGGATGGCGCGTTTATTATTAGATAACACAGCACCGGAGAGACCTTTTGCTGTCCAGAATCCAGACGCAAGACACGGAGCGAGAGAAGACAGGGAGATGGAGAGTGCAAGAGAGAAAAAGAGATAGAGAGAGAGAGTGAGAGAGCGAGAGGGGTAGAGCAGGGAGGAGAGGGAGACCGGGGCCCGGAGCTGACGCACGCTGTGTGTAAACAGTTCGTAAGGCCCGTTCGCTGCCTGAAACCGGTTGTGACTTTGCATCCGTGACGTAAGATCGTCGATTAGGATCGAATCAGGTGGGGGCAGGTGGAGGCCGGGCAAAAAACACGTGTGAACGCGAATTTATCATTCCGCCGTGTCCCCGTCGCGGTCTTTTATTTTTCGCAGTCCGCGCGCGGCAGTCCGCGCCGGTTACCGGTCCGGCTTTGTCCTTCGTTTTGTACTTTCCTCCTTCCGCGTGGCGGGCTTTTTGTCCGCTTTCTTCCCTCTCTTTCTTTCGGGCTGAAATGGGTCAAGTTCGCGGGCCACTCGAGCCTTCCTCTCCTCTTATTAAAGTTTGCGCGGCTGATGAATCCGATAATAACCGACCGCGCGCCGCGTTTCTCTCGTTCTCCCCTTTGACCTCGCAAAGGAGACGACGAGTCCCCGGCATACACCGGCTAAGCGCCGGGCGCGCTTGTTTAACCACGGGCCCCGTTATCTCCGCCTAAAACCGAGCGATTCCCGTGCCCGATTTACGAAACCCGGCGGCGGGTTTAATCGAGATTTCGAATCGATCTCGGGATTAGCCGCGGTGTCGGAACTCCGATTGGCAGATCGAGCGAAAAAATGCTTCGGATCGAATCGTCGCGCGTCCCGCGCGATACGAATGGAACGCGTGAATGGCGAGGTGGCTCGCGTTGCGTTCGTTCATCGTCGGGATCGGCTCGGGGGAAAAAAATGATCCGGTGAATGAGCACACGGGCGACTTTTTGCCCCGGTTCTTTTCACTTATCGGGTGAATCGGCGTGGCGTGGCGCGCGCGGTTCTCGTTTCTAGAGTGCAGAGTGCAGGAAGGGAGAGGGAAAGAGAGAGAGAGAGAGTGAGAGAGAGAGAGAGAGGGAGGGAGAGAGGCAGGGGAAAGCGGCGAGTGTGTGTCTCGTAAATGGCCGATCGACACGACACGTCGCGCGTGCCATTGGCAGTGAAAAACATTTATGGAAACGTGCTTCACCTTTTACGAGTGAAGCCACCGGATTACTTAATCCCTTCGGGGAGACCGCGACGTAGAAAAGAATGACGGGCCTAGGTCATTGCCGGCGAGAGAGCCTGTTCCGCCTCGGAAAACCGGCATCGATGAATTCCTGATCGTTTCCGAGAAGAATGATCGCCCGCAACGAATCGTCCGAATGACTCGAAATCGTCGCGACCGGTCGTTGTCGAAACACGAGTTCCGCGGCCGCCTTCGTGTATTATCTTCGGGGGTAGTTTCCTCGGCGGAATCGGCCGGCGTAAAGCGAAACGAGCGAGGCGCCCGCGCGCGCGCACGTTCGAACGAGGCTGCTTAACATATTCATCATTCCCGGTTGGAAACACCGTGTTAACCACCTGTGGCGACACGGAGAGCCGAGAAAATAAAGCTCGGCCGGCTATCACGGCGAGCAAACAACAGAGAGACGAGGAGAGCCGTGGAGCGGCGAGACGAGGAGCCGAGGAGCCGAGGATCTCCGCAGCTGCGGATCACGCATAGGTGAAAGTCGTTATCTGTTACGTTAACGAGCGGCCAGGGCGTCATGGGATCGGCAGAGGGCCGCGGAGGAATCGCTTCACGACCGGGAATTACCATGGCCGAAGCCAAAGGGTCATTAGAGTCGACCATTCGCCGCGATTACGTTTCGTGTAACGGAAGTCGTGACGAAACTTCTCTCGCCGCTGACTCGCGGGAACAAGGAGAGACATTCAACGCGCCGTCGTATTCGCTCTGTCGGCCTTCGATATCGCAGTATTTGACAGCGAAAGAGTATCGCGCCGATCTTTATCGATTTTCTCGCGTTTCTCGGTTATTTCAAAGATCCCGCGACGGTCGTTACCCCGGATGCACGAAAACGTCTTACGAATGTCTCAAAGACGACTGTTTTTGGACGTTCGAGACGTCATTGAGACGCCCTGCAAACGTTCTACAAACGTCTTCCGAACGCCTTATCTTATATGGAAATTATTGGGTTGGCAACTAAGTAATTGCCGATTTCAGTTATAGATGTCTCTCACTCCCATTTTTATGATATCCGTAAATGTTATATTATGAAATTATTATTATTATTATTATTATTATGTTATTTTTTATTATCCGTGAATGTTAGCAACTGGACAAATTGAATGCAGCGGTCAAGGAAAAGCGACCAGAATTGGTCAATCGTAAAGGTGTCATTTTCCAGCAGGACAATGCTAGGCCGCACACGTCTTTGTCCACTCGGCAAAAATTGATGGATATTGGTTGGGAATTGATGTTACACCCACCATATAGCCATGATCTCGCGCCATCAGATTACCACTTATTTCGATCCCTGAACAACTCCCTTCGTGGTGAAACTTTTAATGATGATGGCGCTGTAAAATCTCACTTAACTCAGTTTTTGGCCGAAAAGTATCAGACTTTCTACGAGCGTGGAATTTTCAAGTTGTCAGAGTGATGGCAAAAGGTCATCGAACAAAATGGAAAATACATTACAGATTAAACTTCATTCCAAGTAAAAAAAATTTTTTATTTCATTGAACAAATCGGCAATTACTTAGTTGCCAACCCAATATATTAGATTCTAGCCTTGACGTATTGACTGGATATCTCAACTACGTTGAGACGTCCACTTCGGGACGTATTAAAGACGTAAATTTATCATTTATTTATTATTTATTTGCGGGGAGAAAAATCCTTTCCGAAAACATACGAAAAAATTTAAATTAAAACGACTGCAGTCGAGAAGACGATTCATCTGACGCATAAAACACGCTGGTGTAATTTTTAAAAATCCTATATAAAAATCCTTATTATCAGGCTGCGGATTTAATGGATTGCTAACAAAACTGAGTAGGGGAAACACAAACCAGTAAAAAAGATTTAAAAACTTTAAGGATACTATTACACTACACTACACTATTACTACATTATTATTACTACATTATTATTACTACATTATTACTACACTATTTAGAACACCGTTTAAAAAACGAAAAGCATATATTTATTTCAATTTATTTTAATTTACTTCGTTGCAATTGAGCCAAACAACTTTTACTTTGCACAA